TTTTTTATAATATATATGTATTTTTTTATATATATATATATATATATATATATATATATATATATATATATATATATATATATATATATATATATTCTATCAAAAATCTTAAACAGAAATAGCTTGGAACTTCTGTGGAGCACACATTCAGGAAAAAAAAAAAAGCGAATATGCAGAACTCGAGGCAAAGTTTACTTTTAATCCCCCCGTGGTATTTTTAGTAACATCTTAGCTTTTTTTACAAGTAAGAACGGTTTCTGGGCCCTCCTAGGATTGCAGCAACAACAAACAGCCAAACAGATCCTTTGAGCAGGATTCTAATGAGGACTAGATCCCCACGGGCTGCCTAGGTGACAGTGGAGATCTGCGCTGCAGCTGACAGAGGCGCAGGCAACAACGTTTGAGAGACAGTTCTGCGGCGGCGCGTAAGGAGGCAGGAGCAGAGTGCTTTAGTGTTAAAAACACTGGACAGATCAAAACAGACCACTAGTGTGAGTGTATTTTGTCAAAGTGACGCAAGACCAGTCTGACCGCCCTGCCAGATCAAAGTCACACGGATAAATACGGCCTTCAAAAGTTTAAGCCGTGCTCCATTAGATGGTTTCTAATTGTGCGAGCCAGAGAACACGCGACACCACCGTAGCAAATTAGATGAACCTTGAATCAAAATGACATCCTTACGTTCAACTTGTGAAATTAAAGCAAATGTAAAGACGAATGCCAACAGCAGCTGCAGTTTTTAACGTTAATAAAACTTTCCTCATGTGATCTACATGCATTTAAAATACAATATAAGGCACTGAGAGTGACTGTGACAATTAAACGGAGGCGAAAAGATGGAAGCCTGCTGCCTTCATGCCCCAGACTCATCCAACGCAGTGGAATCATAGCTCTGTATCAGCAAACCTGTACAAGGCTAATCCGGCGTTGCAGCTCGAGTGTGTGATGCAGCGATTTACAGATGGTGTGTGTGGGCAGCTAGCAGAGGATTTAAAGCAGAAACTCACACAGAGACTACCTCTGTGCAATGTGTATTTGAAGCACATCTTGTCTCACCATTAACATGATGTGGACAATTTCCAGTCCGAACGAGTTACTGGACTTCTGTGGTTCCTCCCCGCCTGACGGCTATGATTAAAAATTAGGACAAAAAGCAATGCCAACTTATTTTTCCTCCGCAAGGGTTTTGATATGCCCTGCTAACTTTGACTTCACTTTTTCTCTCCTTCCACAAAGCTGCATTGATTTTGGAAAGCTCACATGGCAGAGAGAGAGAAAGAGATAGAGATATTTGTGAGTTTTGAAAGACCAGAGGCAACAAAGACAGTACCTCGTTTTTCAGGTTTTTATCAGAACTGTTTTGAGAAAAAAAAAAAAAAAAAGATTTCAAATGTATTCACAGAAAAATCTAGCTGCTAATTTGTGCTGTAGTCAAAATTGCATATATTTGCAGTCCAGTAATTTATGCAAACGTGTGCCAGAGAAAACCTAGGTGTGAACAGGGGATGCAGAAGTCAGTGCTGTTATTAGGATACAAAGAAAAGTCAGGAGCATCTGCTGCACAATCTGCAGTGCAAAAAGCAGCTTTATTCCATCATGTCTGTCTAACTTGAGTAATAGATTGATCAATATCATTTATGCAGATAAAACCATAGAGCATTGCTATGGGATAGCGATATTATTGATCAATACATATTGATCAGGTTGCCCATTGGTTGTGCAATTCCAGCTGCATGACCTGAACACAAAGAGCAGCTCAGACTTATAGTATTTAATTCAACCTGCTTCGGTTTGTCATCAAATGTGAGTTGTACCTTTGTCCAATGACGCATCAGGAGAGTTGAAGTCCATGAGGCTGCTGATTTCAGTCTTGTAGCAGAGGTCCGTGGTTGGGGGTTTCTGCTTGTGTTGAGGCGACGGATCTGTGCAAACACACACAACAACAATAAGCGTTAGTGTGATTTTTGACAAAAGGGGAATTTAGAAGTTAAAATAAAGAGAGGCTGGCATCTGATGCCAGCCCTAAAAGTGAGAAGCCAAGTAACACAGAGTCATCATGAATTAAAAAAAAAAAAAAAAAAAGAAATTCTGCAAGGAACAAAAATAAGTCTAGCGTTATTAATACTACCACCACACCAGTCAACTCCACAAACTCGCCTTCAGTGCTCACATAATTCATTATTTCTCTTCGCTTCGAATGCTACACGGCTGACCGTTCATAGGGAGAACCTGAACGCCTCGGCCAAAGCGAAATCATCCAAGCTTTTACAGTCAAAGCCAATCGAATACAGAAGGTAAAGACGTAAATGAACATCAGTGTTCTTTAGAACCGGAGCATGATTTAATTTCTGGTGACATTCAGAGCTTCCTGACAGCGTTACTGGTTTCCATCAGTGGAGTATGCTGAATGCATATTGAATGGATTCCGTCAGATCAGCTCACGTTAAAGTGCAGCTCAGGCACTTAGACGTGCAATCAGCTTTTGTAACAGCTGCCTTTTGTAGAGAATAACCTCTTTGTAAGTCAAACTAGGTAGAAAATGCAACATTTTAAACAATAAAATAAATAAATAAAATAAAACCGAATCGCCTTCAGTTCAGCCTCTGCTCCTCATTGAGGTTCTCCTGCTCCTTTCTACCATCGTTCCACCACCCACCTACTAAAATGCTTTTTACTGGTTGAATTACTTGCAGTAATTGAGCACAGATGTGTCGTGGAGCTCAAATTCAAGGGTTCCTTTGCCGTCACTACAACAACATTAGACAGTTCACCATTTAAATTGGCTTATGGGGCTACAAATACAAATCTGGCAGTCTGATAAAGTAATTGTAACCAGAATGAGACTTTTTTTTGTGTGTGTGTGTGTGTGTGTGTGTGTAAATATGTAATTTCTGTTACTGGCCTTTGACCAGCTAAACCCATCTGTCAGTTTTTTTTGTTTTTGTTTTTTTTTTCCTTGAATTATGTTAAAATTCACTCTGCATACGTTTCGGCAGGTTTCAGGCTGCTGCAGCTGCCTGCTGGCCTCATGAAAAATATTTTATCTTCCTTGCATTGAGCCCTTGACAAGCCCTCACAGACGTTTAGAGACTCGAGGGAAAGTTGAAGAGCGTAGTGGAATAAATTCAGAGGAATGGGAAATACACGGCGACTGCTGATTAATAAAGGAGAGGAGAAGCTGGTACAGAGGGAAAATTAGGAGGATATGCAAAAGAGCCAGCTTAGGCTGGGAATGACATTTTTATTTACTGAATTATGCAAACACTGTACACTGATTTAAGACTAAATCTCTGCAGCACCTTTGCGTCTCTAAATGACTTTTCAAAACGTGCATCCCTGCTTTGTGATTTTTACAAATTCAACAAAACTCTGCAGATGTACAGAACGAAAAGGATAAGCGTTGCCAGAAAAAAAAAAGATATAATATTTCTTCTTATTGCTTCAATCTTTGCATTTAATGAGTATTCCTCAATAATACCACTACCCCTGAACTTGCAGCAGTGATCTTTTGAAATCCCTTAGGAAGTCAAGTGAGGTTTGACCGTCTCTTTCAGCTCAGCAAACTCAAGTCAGACAAAGGCTCTCTGCGAAGCTAATAATGCTGAAGAGCTGCAGAAGAAAAAAAAAACTGAATAATGTCAGACATTTTGCTGGACTGGTTCTCTGCGAGAGGCGCTGCACCTTGAAGGATATTGATGCTTTCCAAAAACCTTTATTAGTTTGCACTGGATAAATCATGTTTGGGGATGATCTGTTAAAGATTACAGATAAGCGCATCATTTCCTCTGTCTGCGTTCAGCTCGTTTCTGTCCGTTCCTCCTCATAAGCCAACAATATTGTTTTTCATGAAGCCAAAGAATTCTCCAGAGTGACCTCAGTGCAAGAACGGATCTGCTAGGCGAGGTTAAACAGTCATGGAAAATAAAGAAATAAATCAATTGCACACAGACTCCATCAATTCTTGAAGATGCAATTTGATGAATAATTTGATCTTTACCAGGACCTACATTTGTTTCAAACTCAACACAAATGAAAATGAATGTCTCCCTAATATGTACAAGATGGAAATTATGTAAAAAAAGTAGAATTTCAGGTGTCTTTTTTATTACTGTGCTGCATAAATAAGAAAATATACTCTTCCGCAAAAACTCTGCTCCTAATCTTTGTGGTTCCTGGTCCGTCTGTAAACGTATGTCAGCTACAAACCTGAGCTTTTTTTTTTTTTTTTTACTGTGCACCAAAGCCGTTTTGCACAACATTTCGGTTTTCTTTACAATATGAGGGATTTTCACCCTTCGCAATTTATTACTGGGAAAGCGACACTTCAAGTCTCTGTCTGACATTTTCAGCAAGTTCATAAAACAGGAGAAACATTTTCTGCACAAAATCGACTAAAACACCGAAACATTTGATGAACGCAATTATTAAGAGGTCAAACCATATCATGGGTATCTTCTTATGCTCAGATTCGTAGACGATCGTTTGGCATGAAGGACACAGCTGAGGGCACAAAAGCTTTACTCACCAGCAGGTAGGTTTGAGCAGAAATTAAACTAGTTTTGAAAAAAGAGATAAATTAAATTTAACTGTGAAACTATAGTTTTAAATGGGATCAGCTCATATCTGTTTGCAAGCAAAACCCTTTTTGAAAATGAAAGCAGAGTTTTGGGTGAGAGCAGCATCGCAAATGAAGTAATCTTAATCTCATAATCTGCCCTCAGAATTTCAACTGAAAAACTAATTTTCCTTTCCTAACCAAGCATTTCTAAGTTACTGAGCTTTAAAGAGGATACATTTAATTGATTTTAAAAGCTTAAATTTGAGACTTGATATAGTCAAATATCTCTGAAATCACATGGGGACAAAAAAAAAAAAAAAGAAATCTTAACTGCACCATCTTTGATTTACAAGACATGTAGAAACCACAGTGTGAATTAAACATCGTTTATTGCTTGTAGTAAAAATCGGCATCCATTCATCAGCAGGGGAAGATAAAATAACATCTAAAATGCAGTATTTGTGTCAAGCGAACTGGCTTTCTCATGCGTCGCTTTTCTCTAAAACCCTAATAAGAATCTGTAAAGCTTCATGACTTGGCGTCAAACATTAAAAATGATCTTTATCAAGTCATGGAAAAAAGTTCAGAGCAGTTCATTGCCAACACAAACCAGGACACAAAAAGGAACTAGCCTGTGAGGACATGAGCAGTTATTTGTACCAAACATCAAACTAAAGCAATTCTTTAAAGCTTGTAGACTTGTGATAGCAATTTGTTGTAACTGGATCTTATCCTCATTCTCCTGCTGTAAAAAAATAAAATAAAATAAAGGAAACTATTCCTTCAGCGCCTTCTTTGATATCTTAAAACACAGTAGTATGTCTTACACCATGATTACCCAGGTGTTTGAAGGAGTGTAAAAAGCCAACATTTCGCTAGAGTGTACAATAACAGACAAAACCCACAGCTTAGAGAAAGTATAAAGCAGTGAAATGGAGCAAAAGGAGGTTTTAAATCCCACTGAATGTAAAAGAAGCAGTTTTAAATGTCCCAGTTCTATAGTTAGGCATTTTAATTCACTCCATGCTGTTGGAGTAAAAACCACCATGAATGCCCTGCACTAGGAACCTCCCTGTTGTTCCTGTTCTGAGCAGGAGTAAAACACAAAAAAACTTCCCCCAAAAAAAAAAAAAAAAAAAAAAAGCTACAGCCAAGCTTCTCTTACCTCACTGAGCCTGTGGGGGCCACTTTGAAGCTGGGCTGCTGTTTTATTATGAATTCTAACATGATTAAAGAAAAACATTTCTTTCTACTACAAAACATTCCACAAAGTTGAGGGGATTTTTGATGGCTAATAAGTCATCACAATGCATTTACTCGGCTTTATCGGTATAGTTGTCCAAATTAAGTTGTGCAAATTACAGATTTGCGTTTAAGAATCAGTAACTTAGAAATCAGTTGTTGTTTATGTCAGTAAATAAAAAACAAGCCGCATTCTCGGTTCCTGTCGAAGATAATGCAAAGCTCTCTTTTGATCCACAACAAAAACAATATTTGAGTTGCTCTTTGAAAAAGTTTCGTCTAGCAGGGATTAGCTGACTTTTGATAGAACCCATTAAATCAGCAGAAAATCACTGAGAGACTTTATATTATTTAAATCTACCTCTTCTGCACCGTTTTAAAAATTCTGTTGGAGTGCTGCCTCAGACCGAGTCTAATTCATGCTGATCTCTATGTGATTATAACACATAGTGAAAAGCTTGTAATGTTAAATACGCCAGTAGTACAAAAAAAAGAAAAAAAAAGAAAGAAAATCAGTTAATGTGTATTTGAGGTTTTACTCCTGATTCTGCCTTGTCCGTTCCTGTTCCTCTCCCCTCAATCTATCGTCTCCTGGGCTCTCGGGCTCCTCCGTCGTTACCTGTCCGTTTCTCTGGCACATTTTTCCATCATTCTTCCGTCAAATGGGGTTTCCCCCGGCTCGTCTCTCTCTCCTGAGCCAACTATACTTTATCTGCTGGCGCAGTGCAGGGAAAAGGAGGCGGGAGGGACAAAAGAAGACCGTAATGAGTCGTGGAAGGTGATTAAGAAATGAATGGACCCCGCTGCTGGAATCGTCGTCACACTGCCCATGTGCCCCGGCGCAGTCTGCAATCTGCAGATAGACACAATGCTCCACTTTTCTTGCGCCTGCCATTCGCCTTTAATTGTACAGACATTCACTGCTCCTGGAGCCTGCCGGACTTCAGATAAAGCTCATGTATTCATGCATTAATCACCGCCAGCCAGGACAGACCCTTCCCGAGCGCTTCACCTGCGTCGAGACCCCAATTGAAGGCACCCTATAAATATCAAGCAGATAAACGAAACTAATGGAGCGGAGAGAAGCCAGTGCTTAGCGTTCAGCCACCCACTCTAACCAGTCCCAGATTTCAAGATGCCTCGTTGTCAGT